AGGGGCTGCCGCTCGCGGTCGTGGCCCGGAGAGCCCGGCGGAGAGGGGCCGGAGCCGACCGCCGCCGCCACGCGGACCGCGCCCCCCGGAACCTGCGGGAAATGAGCACCGGAGCCCGACGGGAAGGTGTACTCCGGGGGTTGGGCCCGCTCGGGGGACACTAGTGGGCTCGTCTCGTCCATCCCTCAGGCCGCCGGCTCGGGGACCCGGCGAGCTACACAGCTGAGCTGGAGGCCGGAACCAATCCGCGGCACGCCCCACCTCCCGCCCGGCCAACCAGGCCGCGCGCCTCCTTGGCCCCGCCCCTAGCCTGTCCTGTTTACTTGGCGACGAGTAGGCACGGCCCCTCGCGCGCGAACAGTAGCCAATCAGAACCCTCTCTACGCAATCGCGGCCTCCACATATTTCTCCCGTCACTTTCTGTGAACATTGCGCATGCTCTACAACTAACAGCCGGTCAGACACGCCCTCTGCCCCCGACCAGCTCCGCCCGCCCTTTAACTTCCAATTGGCTGGCAGGTCTTGGGGCGCCTACAAAATAGCAACGTAGCTATAGTCATGCGTTAATTGAGCGCCTACTATGAGCTGGCTGTGGATCTGGAAGAAAGCGCATCTTTGTATCATTACCCTACTATGTTCTAAGTGCTGGAGAGACAGCAATGAAGCAAAGAAACAACCTCCGGGATTTAAAAAATCAAACAAAAAAACCCCCCAGCCCTCATGCAGCATACATAGAAGCTGGCCCAATTGTTCAATGCTTGTTAATTGAGGAAAGATGTAGTCTCATGAGATGCAAGGTAAGCATCCGTGACTTTTATTCACCACTGTAAAAGCTCAGTGTCTAAATACAGTAGGTACTCAGTACTTTTTTAATAGCGGAAAAAAGTACAAAAATATAACCCTGCTGTCAAGCTGAGGACACAGCTTGCTGAGGCAGAATGGGAGAAAGTCAACAATGCTAGCTACTTTGGGGTAGGCGGGACGGTCAACAAAGGCAGTCGGTGAGAGCTGTGTCATGAGTTAAGGTTAACTGAAATGTGTAGTTAAATCACCGAGGAAAGGGGGAAGAAAAAGAAAGGTAGGTGAAGCAGAAGAGGTTGCCAGAGGAAAGGAAAAGGAAGGTTAGAACTTGAGGAGACAGACAGCAACCTGCTTGGGGACGTTCCCAAGGACCTGGAGAGCCAGCCAAGAGGGTGTCTGGCATGTGAAGGACCACAGAGAGCTTTGGAGAACAGTTGCTGGGCAGGGAAGTGAAGTAGAGTCAACCTACTCCCTACCCAGGCACCTCGGAGAAACACTGGAGTAAGAATGAGTGGCACCTGAAGGAGGGTGCACAGTTAGTTGGGATAATTAAAATGTATACTAACTTCATCTTTTTTTTTTTTTTTTGGTAGGGCTGGGATGAACTCAAGGCCTCATACATGTCCCCCAACTAACACTACCTTCCAAAGTGTAGGGCATTATAGTTAGAAACATGGGCTTGGAAATCAGACGTTTGAGCTTGAATTTCAGTCTACAATTGTTATGTTAGAGTTATTTAATCTCTCTAAACTTCAGTTTTCTTACCTATAAAATAAGTAGCATCCCTAACTCACTTGATTAAATAAAGATCTATATGTAAAGCAGGTGGCATAGTACTTAATGCATAAAAAGTTCAACAAATGTTAGCCTTTTATCACTGCCAAGTGATAAATTAGCCTTTTATCACTGCCAAGTTTTATTTTGTTTTGTTTTGTTGAAACAGGGTCTCCCTATGTAGTCCAGGACTTGAACTCACTATATAGGCCAGGCTGGCCTCAAACTTTCAGTGATCCTCCTGCCTCAGCCTCCTGAGTGCTGGGATTACAGATGTGCACCACCACGCCTGGCTAGGTTATTGTTGATGTTGTTGATTTTGTGCTTAAAGTAACCAGCAGACTAGAGGTATGGGTTTTCACAAAAGATGACTGGCCACATAGTCAGCAATATTTAGCAATCATTCTTTCTGAAGTCAAATTGTTGCCACAACTAACTGAGAGTATTAAATTGAAAGAACGATTGTCACTTGTATGGGGATGTCAAACTTTCTAACCAAATAAACAATTCTAGGCAAAAGTCCATATTGCCTTTCTTTGAGGCAGGGTCTTGCTTAGTAGCCAGGCCAACTTTCTGAGTGCTGGGATTACAGGTGTGCAGCGCCGTGCCAGGCTTAGTTGCCCCTTTCAGTTAGAACTCACACATCCCTTTTGCTACCTAATCATCAAATAGCTAAGTGATACCTTCCCTCTTCTGTCATACAGAGCACAGCCACAGAGATGATGTCTTAATATCTTTCATATTTTGTGTATTTAGCCCATGAGCTTCAAATCATGATCAATGAAAGCTCCCAGCTTTGGAATTCACCCTGGAATTCTGAGTTTTTTCTCTACTACAAACTCCCACAGAATTTAAGTCTACACCTTAGTTTGTTTTTACTGGAAAAAGTGTCAATACATTGCCTATTCTATCTAGAACTTACTAAATACCAAGTATGTGGCAGTGTCTTGGTTACTTTTCTCTCATTGCTGGGACAAAATACCTGATGCCCAAAATTAAGGAAGGAAAGGTTTATTTGGCTTACAGTTTGTGGAGGTTTTAGTCCGTACTTGGCAGGTTACAAGGCAGAGTGGCACATGGCAGAGGGCTACAGCTCATGGCGGCAGAACACAGCCAAAGCAACAAGCACAAAAGGGAGAATGGCCGCAAGCAGCCTCTTCCTCTCCCTTACATATGCAAACTATCCACCCCAGGGCAGGTGTAGCTCTCACACCCATAATCAATCAAACTCTAAAAGCCTGCCTCATGACCACATGAGGCTTTGCGGGGGACACCAGACACAAACCATAACAGGCAGGCATTGTTTTCCATTGTCTTCACTCATGTGACTGGCATTACCATTCCTACGCTATTGGAAACTGAGGCCTAGAGATGTAAAGTAACTTACCCATAGTCATTCCACTGGTAAGTGGCAATGCTGGACTCAAATCTTGGCAGATTGGTTCCACGCTTTCAAAACTGTAGTATATTGCTTATTAAATATTCCTATGAAGTATGTCTCACAATCACCCCTTTTTTTCCATCTCCACTGATGCCACACTAGTTTTAAGTTTCTCTGCTTTCAGTCTCTCTAAATATCTGTCAATATAAGTGCCATATTAATGTTCTCAAAATATTGTTTTCATAATGTCATTCTGTCAGCGAAGAAACTATGTTGGGGTGGGAGGCGCTGGGGACTGAACCCAGGACCTTGCACATGCTAGGCAGCTATACCACTGAGCTACATCCCCAGCCGTATTTATTTATTTATTTACTTACTTACATAAAGACAGAGTCTAAATTGCTCAGGCTGGTCTCACACTCATAATCCTCCTGCCTCAGCCTCCTAAATAGCTGGGATTATCCATATGCACAGCAGGAACTACATTTTTATTGTTGTAAAATATACATAATTTATTATTTTAGCTACTCATAAGTGTACAACTCATTAAATATATTCATAATATTGTAGAGCCACTCCACCCAAAACATTTTCATTATTCCCCAGAAAGTCATATCCATTAAGCAATAATTCCCTCCTGTTCTCTGCCCCCAGCATCTGGTAGCCTCTCTTCCACTTTCTGTCACTATCAATTTGTGTATCATTTGCCTATCATAGAAACTACCTTTTGTGTTTGAGACAGGGTTTCACTATGCAGTTGAGGCTGGCCTAGAATTCACTTGGTAGTCCAGGCTGGCCTCGAACTCACAGTGATCCTTCTGCCTCAGTTTCCCTAGTGCAGGGATTACAGGCGTGTACCACCATGCCTGGCTAGAAACTACATTTTGCATACCATATCATCGCCCTAATTTTCAGATCTTTCCAAAATTTGGCCTCATCCAATATATTTAACCTATTTCTTCATATTTTCTAATATACATTTCCATTCTAATAAGATCTATTTCCATGACGCTCCATTCTCTTAATGACTGAAATTATGTCTATAGTCAATACCACACTGTTTAACATATTATCACCACTGAGTGTTAGCACCAGGTTGAATCTTACAGGTCTTCTAATCCAATCTCATTTTACAGGCTAGAAAGCTCAATAACTTGCTCTAAATCACACACAATTACTGGCAGAGATGGGATTTGAAAATGCAGTCCATGTCTTTTAAAATAATTTGAGCCGGACATGGTGGCACATGCCTGTAATCCCAAAACTTAAGAAGCTGAGGCAAGAGGACTGTTGTGAGCTCAAGGCCAACCTGCCCTACATACAGAAATCCTGACTAAAAAAAAAAACTTCAAACTTTAAACTACTATTTATTTTAAACTGAAATCTTGGAAGCCTTCATCATCCTCATCACCACTTCTAGTCTGCAGATGAAAAAAATTTCAATTCAGAAAAGCAATTTGCTTTGATCTATGCACTTGTCTTCTCTTAATAATAAAGCCTTAGGTTATTCCACGTATATGTAGTAAGATAGCAAATCGCAGAAAACCAGCAAGCAATGGCTTTTCAAGCTGACAGAACTAGCATCATGCTGCACTTCTATAGTTCAGTAGATAATCACGGATACACGGACTGGAAAGTATAGTAGCTGGGAAGACTTGCTTCAATTTTGGGACCGTTTTTTTTTTGTTGTTGTTTTTTTTTTGTTTTTTTTTTTTTTTTTTTTTTTTTTGGTTTTTCTCCGGTACCGGGAACCGAACTCAAGACCTTGCGCTTCCCAGGCAGGCGCTTTGCCACTGAGCTAAATCCCCAGCCCCGGGACCGTATTTTAAACACAAATTTTCTGAGCAGTGACAGCACAAATCCTTATAATGAATAAAAAAAGTCTTGATATCACAGTGCTTGGAGTAAGGTTATGAAAGAGCAATTGCCCTGCCCAGCACATTACATGTTACAAAACTGCACCTTTAAAGCTGGATTTACATTCTGTCGTAAAACTCAGCGGCGGCGCCAACTAACCACTGTAAGGATTTAGCTTCTCGAACAAGTAGGCACAGAGGCTTAAGAAGCAACTTTGGTTTTGCTGGGGGTTGACTTTGCGGCTACGCAACCTCTAGGTAGGTGAGACCTGAGCCTCCCCTCTCTTTGGGGTTTGCACAGGTGGGGCCTTAGGCTCAGCCCCACCCCTCTTTCAGAAATTCAGCAGAGGCTCTGGAAACATTTTGCCCCGCACAAAGATGGCGGAAAGGCAGACTGACCCAATGAGGAGTAGTGTTGCTCCTGGTTGCCTAGGTAACAGCCAATGGGCAGCGGGAACTGTGCGTAGTGCGGCCGCCCGCGATGGCGGCTTCCAGGGGGGCAAGTACTATTGGAGGTGGCAGAGAGGAAGGTAACAGGAGAGAGCCAGGAGGAACAAAGGTCCTCGTCCCTGGAGCTGCGAGTCTGGGCGTGACGGCCGTCCCAAAAGGCGGAGCCCAGGTTGGCTAGCTGCCCGGATGGGAGGGGGCCTCGAGAGTGTGGTCAGCCAGGTAGGAACAGAGGAACGCCGCAGGTTACCTGGGGTAGGGATGGTGGCTTCCTCTCAGATCCGCCGACCCTGGGGCGACTGCCCTTGGGGTCCTAAGCCCGGGCCTTGAACTCCCACTTCGGGGTCGAGACACACACTGCACCTGGGAATGGCAGACGTGTGTGAGCCCAAGTCTTTGGGGGCGGAAGAGCAGACTCAGATAAAGGGAAGGAAGAGGGGCTGGAATGCAAGAATGCAGTGAGGGACTGTGTTGCCTCGCAGAGGTCTAGGGCTTTGTTTGCTCTAGGACCCGTCTGTACCACGCTCTGGTGGTGGACAGACGAGCCACGTACCGAGACTTAGGAATGGGACCCTTCAATTATTTGATAGGTGGCACGCCAGCAGTTTAGCATCTCCGAGCTGCCTAGGTACCAACAGTAAGAACTCACTGTCTTAGAAGCTGGCCCAAGCATACTGCTTTTCTTGAACTAGAACTGTATTTTGACAGTGATACTCCCTAGTCCCCATCACTCCCATCTTCGTTTTCTTGTTTTTTTAAACCGACTTCGGGACACCAATGTTTTCTTCCCACTTTCAGTTTGACCATCGCAGTCTTTCTGAACACGCCTTCATATACTAACCATACTTTTGTTTACTTTTCACGCGAGGGAAGGGGGGGTTAGATTTATAATTTTATTTTATTTATTTTGTTTTTTTGAGATAGGGTCTTGCTGTGTAGTTCTGACTGGACTTGAACTTACTACGTACATTTATAATTTTAAAACCAGTTATATTGAGTTTGTTTAAACAAGCTTTTGTTTATTTTTAGTTTTGTTTTGTTTTTTGAGACAGGGTCTCCCTGTGTAGCCAGGCTGGCCTCCAAATCCCAGGAATCTTTCTGCCACACCTTCCCAGTGCTACGGGCAAGCGCTACCACACCCTGCAAAACTGCTTTCTTTGTAATTGAAAGAACTTTGGCAAGAGGACCATACCCTGGGAAGGGTGCTTTAGGTAACAATTTGAAGGTATATGTGGGGAGTTAGGTGGCTGCTTCCAAATAATAGTCTCTAACTGAAAATCTGTTGCCCTTTATGTTAGTTTTTTTTTAATCCCCCTAATTTGGACACAGGTTACTGTGAGTACGTAACTAACTGTTCTTTAATAAGCTTGATTTGTTAAAATTTTAAAGAGAGAAACAGAATGAAAAAAATTTCTCATTACTTTCCTGAAGTTCTGTTTGGGAATGTCTGGGGCAGGGATATGGTCTGTTGTGCATTGAAATAGTGCATTGGTTTATATAGAGACAAAATAGTAATTTTCCTTTTGCAGCTTATCTATCAGGAGTGCTACAAGGGTGTTTACTGAAAAGAATGAATCATCCTGGGTTGTGACTAGAATCCATATGTGTCTGTGTAACCTTAATGAGACTACAGTTGCTGCTGCTTAATTTAGCGGTCTGGATTCACAAACAGCAAAAGCCTCTAACACCAAGGTAAAGACAGTCAAAGTTTAATAAACTGTTGCTTAACACACACACACACACACACACACACACACACACACACACACACGATTACACAGAAAAAAGCAAAATACAAAAAAGTTTATATCACCAAATTGGAGGAAGCACTAACTCCTGAAATCCAGTGCTGGGGAGTCGTAGGTGTAGCTTTCGGGGTCCCAGTGGTTCCAAGCAGCGTACCCTCTCCATAGATAAGACTCTGGTGTCCCCCTGCTAGTGAGACCCCTAAATAACAGTGGAGACAAAAGTAACAGGGCCCCAACTGTATATGACCAGGAGTAGAGTTTGCAGTCTCCAGGAGCTGGCCAGGTGCCTGAAGGCTGCAAATATCTGGACCATTTAGATAGGTATTTCAGAGAGAAAATGTCCTTGAGAGGAGGCCAGACTTACAAGGGGTTCTGTTCATCTCAAGATGCCTGCCAGACGTCCTGACAACTAATCTTTAGAACAAGGTCATGGCACTGCTGTGAACAAGGAAGATCTTTCTATACTTAATTTTAACTCTTCAGTCTGGAGCCTAACCAACATTACTTAAATAACTGTCACAAATGACTTTTTGGATCCCTTGTTAAACTATTGAGATTTTCAGTCTTCCTCAGCACCAGCTATTCTTTATTGAAGTAGATTTGTCTCAGTGACCATGGTTACAAGTGGAATTCCATTTTGCACAGTGGCTGTGTAGATGTTAACTACATGTTCCTGTAATCCCAGCACTCTCAGAGGTTGAGGTGAGAGAATCAACAGTTAAAAGAGTCCAGCCCTGGCAACTTACTGAGATCCTGCCCCAAAATAAATTTTAAAAGACGGCTGATATAGTAGAGCACTTGCCTGTCATGCATGAGGGCATGACATCCCTAGTACCACCAAAAAAAAAGGAGAGAGGAATAGAGATGTATAGTATGACCTTTGAAAACAAGTAGGAAAGAATGGTGGCAGGGTTAGGTTGAGAAATGTTTTAATTAACAGTTGCTGTATAACAAGTTCCCCCAAACTTCACATTTGTTCATTTGTGGTTTTTTGTTTTGTTTTTGTCAGTATTGAGAATTGAACCCAGGGCCTTCACTCTGAGTTATATCCTCAGCCCTTTTTATTTTTTATTTGAGAGAAAATCCTGCTGAGTTGCCCAGATTGGACTTCAATTTGTGATCCTGCTGCCTCAACCTCACACAGCCACCATGCCCACTCTTCATCACCTTTTATGATCTAACCTCAGAACACACGTCGTTTCTATCATGTCCTGTGGTCAAAGCAGTGACAAGCCTGCCCAAATTCAAGGGAGAAGAATTTGACTCCACCTTTTGATAGGTCAGTGGCATGGTCAGATTGTAGAACATGTACCAGAGATATTGTTGCAGATATCTTTGGGAATATAATGCTCTACATTTGGTAATAGGAACATAACTCTTCAAGTTTCATTGGCTTCCTTAAAATATTTGGAGTACAGGTCCCATGAGCTGATGGTATACCAAGAAGATGAATAGGTCTACAACTTGAAGGCCTGGCTAGCATTTGCCCATATATAATCCTCAAATTAGAGAAATACTGTCTTCTAACTGCCTCCTACTGATTCTTCCGGAATAAGCTGGGATGCCACTCTCAAAGTTTTTTGTGGCCTTCAGGAAAATTTATAATCTTCTTGTGTAAAGAATGACTTTGTGTTTTGGAATGATTGTCATTCTAAGATTTAGTAGAAGATAGAGGCTTTTTGATCCCAACAGACATATGTCAAAGGGATGAAATATTTTCGATTTGTACCAAAAGTTCACTATTAGTGCTGTCACTTAGTTCTAAGAGGAGCTAAAGAAGGTCTATAGCTATCAAAACGCTTAGCTAGACAGGAAAGAGTTTTCCTCTGCAGCTGTGATGGAAAACTGCTTCTCTCCTCTCATTAATGTTGTATTGGCAATGGAGTCATATTGACCTCTACCCTAGCACACTCTGATGCTGAGCTGATGATAAGAAGCTTGTGAACCTGAAATGAGATGCTGACTTTATGGGACATTGATAGGGCAGAGAGAGTATAGCAGGTTCCTGCATCATCTCTCTGAGAAAATATTCCCCAGAGGTTTGGAGGGGCTATAGTACAACAAGCATATGATCTCTGCCTAGGGATACCTTATACTATGTGAGCAATCCTAGACATGGAGCTGCTGGCTAATAACTAGAAAAGTGAGAAAGTCCTGTAGGAATGACCCCCAAAGATCTCTCAAAGAGCCTCCTCCCCACAGCTGACCTTTATTATGAGACTAGAAATTAATATTTCTCCATATTTGAATGAGAGTACAAGGATTCTCCAGATTCAGCTGTCTCCATGTCTGAAATTAGAGCTTAGAGTCGAGGTCAGGGCTTTGGGGATGTGACTGACCCTGCTTTAGGCCAGGCTGCTTCATATCAGATCATTCCAAGGCATCAGTATCTATGTCAAAAATGGCCAAAGTTAAAACATTCTGGAGGGTATTGATGGGGAACAGAAGTGTGGCAACCACACTTTGTTCTTCTACTATTTAGTATGTACCTCATGAGTCAAAATTGCTGACTTGTTCTGTTGCAAAATGTTTGAATTGTGATATCGTTTTTGAGCTGAGCAAAGACTTTTGAGGAATTTCCATTGCAGGAAGTAAAGTGTGAGTCTAGGTGTCTCTTTTTGAAAAAGAAAAAGAAACATTTTTTTTTTCTGTCTTTTTGAGACAGGGTTCACTATGCAGTTTAGGCTAGCCTTGACTCTCTTTATAGCCAAAGCTGGCCTCTAACTTTCATGGATCCTCCTGCCTCAGACTACTGAGTGCTGGGATTACAGGCATGTGCCACCACTCCCAATAAGAAACCAACATTTAGTGGACAGAGTCTGGCAACATTCTCGATACATTAATGTGTGTTATTTAGTTCACCTGCTGTCTCTGAAATAGCTATATTATTTCTACTTTACAAATGTGGAGATAGTGCTCGCTTCAGCAGCATACATGCTATCGATGAGGAATCGCATTTAGAGACTTAGGTGACTTGCCTGGGGTTACATAGTGAACCAGGATTTGAACTGGCATCTTTCAGCTGTCAGGGTCCACAGTACCACTCTATTGTATTAGGAGTCAGGAGAGGATAAGATAAGCTAGAGTTTAAGAGCATGGGCTTAGAGGCAGCTACCAGGCTTCTGATGTGAGCTGAGAGACTTTAGCACGTTTATTCATCATCTATCTATGTGCTTCAGTTTCCTCACCTATAAAGAGGAAATGCCAATACCCACTTCACTGTGAGATGAAATTAGATAATGTACACAATAAGTGGTCAATATGTGTTAGATTTGTTTGTTTGTTGTTGTTTTGGTTTTCTTTTGTCTTTTTGAGACACTCACTGTATAGTTCAGGCTGGCCTTGAGCTCACTTTGTAGCCCAGGCTGGTCTCGAGCTCGAAACGATCCTCCTGCCTCAGCCTCTCGAGTGCTGGGATTACAGGCATGTGCCACCACTCCCGGCAATACATGTTAGTTCTTGTTATAATGGTATTTGGAATAGCTTCTCTGTGTCAGCTTAGTTAATCAGAGAGGACTAAGCCATCTGAATTGGAGTATAAATAACTCAGCACTGTCTACCACCACAGTTTTTTGTTTGTTTGTTTGTTTGAGACAAGGTCTTGCTATGCAGTTCAGGCTGATCTTGAATTTGCTGTGTAACCCAGGCTGGCCTTGAACTCCTGGCAATCCTTCTACCTCAGCCTCCTGAGCTCTGAGGTTAAAGGAATGCACCACCATGCCCAGCCCAGCACCACAGTTTAGAGAACACAAATTTTAAAACATGTGTTTTAGTTGAACATTTATTTTAGAGCATCATTTTTGTATGAAATATGCCAGATCCTTCTTGTACTGTGAGCTTGGTCTTTAGAACTTTGTCTTGTATCCCAGCTCTGGCCCCTGTGCATTTGTTGTGTTGGACTCAGTCTGGGGCCTGAAACTCTAGGTTAATTATTAATCATGAGGAACCTTACAATAGTAATTTGTAGCTCAGAGTTTTCACATGGTATTTCCATTTAATGGAATAGTAGTTTACAGGCTTTCAAATGAGAATCTAATAATGTCATATAAACTTCAGATTCCCTAGCTCCAACTAGACAGACTCAGCACTGTCCATCACCACAGTTGTTTTGTTTTGTTTTGTTTTGTTGAGACAGGATCTCACTATGGAGTTCAGGCTGGCCTTGAACCCACTAGGTAGACCAGGCTGGCCTCGAACTCACAGAGTGATCCTCCTGCCTCAGCCTCCCCAAGTGCTAGGATTACAAGAGTGCACCACTATGCCCCCCTTTCATATAAGATTTTTTTTTTACAATCTTTTACTGTCTAGCCAGTTCCCAAATGTTATTGGTATATTTTTGTCCTATATTTGTCATAGCATTTCTTCTGCTCCTATTACAGTGTCCCTAGACCGCCTACTCATCCCTGCATATCTCAGTTAGCTTTTGTCAGGTAGTAACACACTACCTTAAAACACAGTGGCTTTAAACAACCACCATTTACTTATCCTGCAATACTGTGAGGTATTAGTTTGGGGCTGGGCTCAGGACAGTTCTCCTGGTCTTGCCTGAGTTCATTTCCCCCATAGGCAGCTGCTTCAGACCGCCTCCCATCATCCTGCAAACCGGGCTGGGCTCATTCACGTGGGGCACCAGAAGTCCAAGCGCAGCAAACCTCTGTTCTTATCACCTTTGCGAACAGAGTGACTTACATAGCCAGCCCTGATCCAGTGGGTGAAGGAGTAAATAAACTGCTTTGCAGGGAGAGGATCTGCTGTGTCACACTGCAAGGGCATGAGTGGAGGGGAAATAACCGCCTTTATTCCAGAATTATCACATCTCTTCCTATGAGCTTTGCTGAGGAGGTGCCGACTGCTCCAGCCCCTCCTGCTCCCTACTGCCACATTCATTTCCCTCAAACAGTGTTCCCTAAACATCATGTTACTTCCCTGTTCACAGCTCCCCAGCAGCTCCCCTCCTCATCCCTTAGCCAAAGTAAACTCTTCTGGCCAGCTTTCAGGGACCTCTGCGGCTGGCCAGACCTAACAGTAGAGGCTGTAGCACAGGAAAATAGAAGTAGCCATAGTTGAGGGGGCTTGTATGCTAACCCCAGCTTGGTCACCAACAAACTTTTTTTAGGGGGGGACATGGTACTAGGGATTAAACCCACAGCCTTCACATGGAGCCTATATATCCCTAGCTCCCCCTCCCCCACCCCTCTTTTTTTCAAATAGGGTCTTGCTAAGTTGCCCATTCTGGGCTCAAACTTGTGATCCTCCTGCCTCAGCTTCCCAGAGTGCTAGGAATACAGACATTCACTGCCATGTCCAGGTACCATCAAACATTTAACCATTCTGAACTTCTGTTTATTTATCTGGGTTAAATCTGTGAGGGTCTTTTCAGATTTATGATTTTGACTGTTAGTCCCTATGATAACTGTTAGTCCCTAAATAAGATCTCAACTATAGTCATACCAGGCTTCTGCTTTCGCCATTGGACAGCCCACTGTGCTTTCATTCCCCGTGTTTTCTCAGTCTAGCGCGTTACCCTTTGCTTTCTTCATTGCTCATTTTAAATTCTGCCCATCCCTTGTCCTTGTTCATTTCTGCCATCCATGTGGGCATTTTACCTGTTGTATAAATCAGTGTTTCAGTTGCTGATTTTATCAGATTGTAACCTTTTTGGGGGAAGAGATTATATTTTATACATCAGCGAAGTTCATAGTAGGCTAAGCCTGCATTTCCATCCCAGGTCATAGAAAATAGGATCTTAGGATCAGACTGAAAACTATGAAGATAAGTAGGAGGACACGGGTGCTTGGGCAGAGATAGTGGCAGGAGTGGAAAGGAAGGTGTTTTATCAGATGTACCCAAGGTGGTATATACGTACCAGGCTGGTGGCCTTTAGAGTGTATCTACAAATCTTTTTACAGTTATCTATAATTTTTTTTTTTTTTTGCAGTCCATTCCTCCAACCATCCTGTGACCCTGGTTCTCCTCTGTTTATTTCCTACAGTTTTCATCCTTTTCTTCTGTAAGCTGTCACCATGACCTTGACAAAAGGGTCCTTCACCTACTCCAGTGGGGAGGAGTATCGTGGCGAGTGGAAGGAGGGTGAGGAGGATCTTTGGGGGTACCCAGTAATGAATGCTTCATGTGGCAAAGGGAAATACATTAGGAGGGATAGCCAGCTTCATGGAGCTTCATTTCCCACTCCAGGACTCAAATCTATGTAATGCCTTTTCTTTATTCTGTTTTAAGATTAAGTAAAGGAATGAGAAAATGCTGTTAATCCAGCCTCCAGAAATGAGTTAAATCTTTCCAGCTCTGAATTTATGGTGTTTTAACATCCTTTCCTCCTTTAGTAGTGTTGTTTGGGAATTTCTTAAATAAATGCTAAGGTACCCAGCAGAGCACAAGGCATCCTTTAGAGTGCAGAGTTCATTGTAATTCCTTGGTGACAGTGAATCTTAAGAAGTTAAGGATGATCTGGAAATTAAGGCAAACACTCAAGAATAAATGACATTCATTTCCTTGAATTTTCTTGAGAAATTGTGCCTTGAGAAATTGTGCCTTTGTGACCTTGCTTCCTTTCATCCTGAGCCTTTTTTCCTGCCCACAGACACCTGCTGTCCCCTCAATATGGTTTTCTAGAAGAAAGATGTCCTGAGATCCTGCCAGGCAGTCTCTGCCCAGCGAAAGAACTTTCTCACACTCTGTATAAAGGGCATGATTGCTGCCCCCAGCTTCTTGCCCAGGTTTCTGGTCAGCTTAGTGAGTAAGCAGAGCTCTACTGATGGAACAGAGCTCAACTCAGGGCTGCCACTCAGGCTGTTCACTTTGCCCCATAGCCTCATGATGCTTAGGGGTACTTTTTTTTTTTTTTTTTTTCTCAGAGCCTGGGATCTTGAGTAAGTTATTTGGTTTCACCCTTCCTTAATTTCCCCCATCTATTTTTTTCCTTTTCTTTTCTTTTTGAGACAGGGTCTTGCTTTGTAGTTCAGGTTGGCCTTGAACTCACTGTGCATCTCAAGCTAGCATTGAGCTTGCAGTGATCCTCTTGCCTTAGCTTCCCAAGTGCTTTGATTGCAGGTGTGCACCACCATGCCCGACTTGTGTTTAGTGGAAATGATAATAGTACTGTCTTTACCTCATACAATTGTCATAAGGATTACATAAAATGACAAAAAGTACTTAGAAGAGTGGCTGATACATAAGGGCACTATAAACTAGCTATTGTTATTTTATTTTATTTTATTTTTAAATTTGATAGCTTGTGTGGTACTGGAAATTGAACCCAGGAGTCCATTACACCTCCAGCCCCTAACTTTTATTTTAAAAACTCTCATCATTCATACTTGAAGAGATCTCCTCCAAACCTGATGATTGTGACTTACAAGGGGAGGTATAGAAGTCAACTTTCATCGGTGCTGGACTCTGCCCCATTAATGCCATCGCTTCTTTTCTTTTGTGGGTAGGGTGATATAAAATGTGGGTTGCTGGTGTAAAAGTGTGCAAGGACCCTGAAGCAGCCCCATTCCAACCTAGCACCTGTCCTTCTCTTTGCTCAGGCCGCAGACATGGTTTTGGTCAACTGATGTTTGCAGATGGTGGCACCTACCTGGGTCATTTTGAGAATGGGCTTTTTAATGGCTTTGGGGTATTGACCTTCTCAGATGGCTCAAGGTGAGTATTAGGTTATTCTTTTCTCAGTCTTTAAAGTAGGGAGGCTCTGCTATAAAAAATGAAACACTGGTGAATAGCTGGTCAACCCTGAGCTTATCCTAGGCTTTGCAAAAAACCGACAAGGAGTAAGCAGTTTATTGGTTACTTTTTAAAGAGATATTAATTTTGAAATGTCGAGCAGGTAAATGACCTTCCACTAACCTCCATTTGCTTAAGTTCTTTCCTTGAGATGAGGGCCTCACGTCGCACATATTCTGACCTTGCTGGTTGGGAATGGAGTAGATGGGGTGGGGGAGCTCTGGGCTAAACAGAACCAGCTTTTCTCCATGGCATTATTAACTAACACATCTTGTCAGCTGCCTGACTGAGTTAACCAGGACAGCTGACTTGCCAGGAGAGGCTAACATCTTGGTGTTTCCACAGGTATGAGGGGGAGTTTGCCCAGGGCAAATTTAATGGCGTTGGAGTCTTCATTCGACACGACAGCATGACCTTTGAGGGGGAATTTAAAAATGGCAGAGTAGATGGTTTTGGTAAGTTGCAGCCCAGCAGGATGGGTGGCAGGTGAACATAATATGGGTGCAAATATATCTTTTAGTTTTAATCCTCCTGTAGATGTCCACCAGTCTATAGTGATCATGCCCTAACCCACTGAACTCATCAAGTACTCCTGAGTAACACGGTGGGGTTTTTTCTTCTTCAGCCTCTACACATTAAGTTCATCACTGAGACATTAATTCCATTGTCATATTTTCTCTGTCTTCCTGAAAGGCCTGCTCACTTTCCCTGATGGTTCTCACGGAATACCACGTAACGAAGGTCTCTTTGAGAATAACAAGCTGCTGCGGCGTGAGAAGTGCTCTGCAGTGGTCCAGCGGGCCCAGAGTGCTTCCAAGTCAGCCCGAAATCTCACTGCCTGACGGGGCGTTGGGTTTAGCCGGAAAAGTGTCAGGTAAATCCAGTGCTCCCATTGCTCACTTAAAGTGAACAAATGAACCAGATCTGAGGTGAAACGAGAAGAGAATAACTGCAGAGCAAAGCCTGAGAGGTGCTCCTTCACCTGCCCATCAAGAGTCTGATCCCAGAGAAGTGCTGAGGACTTGGACCCAAAGACCTTGCAGCAGTTGGTAGCAGTTCTGTCATTCCTTGATCTTCATGTGTAGAGGACAGAGGAGCCACCGTACTTATTTGTTGGTTCTCCCTATTCCTGAAACTTCAGCTTCTTCAGTGTAGACTTGCTGCAGCCTTCACTCCATTTGCTGCCAAGTAAATAAGAATCTCTTCATTTGCCTCCCTTTGGGGCAGCTGATCCCAGCCCCAAGGTAAGGCTAGTACCCTGTGCTGTCCTGGAGAAATAAAATGGGGTGGTGTAGACCATACAGGAGCCCTGTGAAAGGCAAGGTGAGAGCTTTCTTTACATTTCTTTACACCACTGTTCACAGCAGTGGAATCCTGGCTCCAGGCTTTCACTTTGGTCAGACTGTCCTTCATCTGTTTATTTGCCCTGTGCAGGATTGGGTGCTATTTTCTTCCCCCTGGGCTGTACAAGCCATCTTCCTTACCTGAGTTATGGCAAACAATCCAATCTTCCTTTCTGCTGTTTGTGCTTCTCCCCTTTCTTACACATCAGATAGGATCCCTCTATGGGATAGTCAAGGAGCAAGAGGCAAACTTGTCCAAACCACTTGAGGCCCTCCCATGGGTACCTGAATTCCACAGAAGACGATGCCAGCACAGTTTATTCCCAGAGGCTCAGTACCCAGCCTCTTGGTTTAGGTAGTCTTGGACTCATCGTAGGGCTACAGCGAACTAAAGGAGGATTGGCTGCTCACAATTGGTTCATGGTGACTCTTCCACCAAAAGCCGTGGCCCTCGGGCCTGGGTCAGATCTTGGCAGGTAGAATCCTTGCACAGTTCATCAGGAGGTGTCTAGTTACTGTGGAACGCAGACATTCCCCTCAGCCCCCATCCTCATACCAAATCTCCCTCAGCAGCAGACTATGTGGAAATTATAGCCGTGTGCCTCTGTTTATTCTTTGATGTGTACTGTAGAAACAAATGTTTATAAGAATAAACAAATCACCTGAACTACCTGCTCATAGCTTTCATGACTGTCTTGTCCAGTACTTCCTCAGAGTACCAGTCCATTTGGTATTTCAAATGTTCATCAGAGTGTACAACTTACTATATAATGTCATGATTCCTAGAACCTCTGTAGAGTAGAAAGCGTAACTTTTTTTAAAAAGCAGACGGGCCCAGGTTACTCAGACTAGTGAATGGCAGAGCCCAGTGGGATTTCTATCCTAGTCTTTCTGATTTAATTCCCTTTCTACTGGATACCTCTCACCCTGAGTATCACTGAGATTAGTTATTGCCAGTGCTGCTGATGACCTTACGCAAGGCAACACCTGTCTGGATTTTCCTTTTCTGTAGTAGGAGAACATCACCCCGCAAGTGGCCCCTTCACATGCATGATCTTACTCAATCTTCATTCTGGCAGTGGGAGGTAGGTATATTGTCTCTATATTACAGATGAGGCTCAGAGAAATTGCTTCCCCAGTATCCCACAGACACAAAGGGGTAGATCCTAGACTTTAAACCCAGGTATTAAAGCCTAGAGGCTAAGCTCTTAACCAGTACACTAACCTGCCTCCCTGGCCCTAACTCTCCCTCCAGCCTAACTCTGATTCTCTGAGCCCAGCTTCTCTGGAAGGTGCTTATGAGACGCCAGTGGCCAAGCCCCAACCTTTAGTGCCATCAGGTTCCCAGCTTCAGTTGCAGATTATCTTTTATAGTCTCCTCTACCCTAGTCAAGGCCTTATTTATCTCTCTTTTTACCTCCCCTCCCCCACCACCCCAAGCACTAGGGATTGAACCAGAGGCTTTGCACTGAGCTACATCCCAGGCCTTTTTAATTTCTAATTTTGAGATAAGGTCTTACTAAATTGTCTACCCTAAGCTTGAATTTGCAATCCTCCTGCCTCAACCCCCCCGAAGTGCTGGGATTACAGGTGCACATCACATGCATAATTTACACTGCTTTATTGTTTTTTGTGTTTTTCAAACTGGCCTTAAACTTGCTAGGTAGGCCAAGTTGTCCTTAAACTCACAGCCCTCCTACCTCAGCCTCCGTATTGCTGGGATTACAGGCACGTACTGCCAAGTCCAGTTCACCTTTTTTTAATTTTTCTTTTTATTTATTTTTTAAACTTTTTTTTGAGACAGGGTGTCACTATGTAGTTCAAACTGGCTTTGAAGTCAATGTGTAACTTAGGATGGTCTTGAACTTATGACAGTCCTCCTGCCTCAACCTCCTGAGTGGTGGTATAACTTTTCTTTTAATGAATATTTTAAAAAATTTTCTCAGTTTTTCTGCCACTGGTCACATATTACCACTGAACAGGGTTATATATTTTGGAGAAAGCCACCTCTTAACTCATATGCTAAGTGTTGCATGGTTTTACCTTTTTATCGTCTCCCATTTGAAACAACTAAACCTTTGCCAGGCCCCCACTGATCTGGTAGCTGTTTGCTCAATATTGTTAGGGCCTCTCTCAGAGCTGGAAAAAGGCAGACCATGAGGGCTGTTTTATCTCTAAGAGTGTTCTTGATATCTGGCCAGGAAACCTGGTACAAAGCCACACTAGTTTTATTTGTTAAACTTTATTACAGTAACAACATGATTATGTTTAATAATAAGCAGAGTGCTCATAGACAAGAAGATGGCTCTGTCTCATGCCTAGTCCCCCTCCTTAGTGTTTCAGACCAGGGATGGTCCAATTAGTCTTCCAGATTGTAGAGCAGGTGTTTACCCACCAGGTGTCATTATTTACCAGTATGACACCGCTAGGCTGTCTATCCACTTGATGGTGAGAATCAAAGCCAACAAGACTGTGAATGAAAATAGATTTAGGAAAGGGCATTGTGACAAATGCAGTTTGGGGCCTTCCAAAAACCAGCAACATCTTCCTGATCAGATTTCCTACCCTGCTGCATCTCTGGAATGAGTCAGAGCTTGTGGTTTTAGGAGTAGCCCTGACGTCCAGCTGCATAGTGCTAGACTCAGGCCTCCAGGCTAGATGATCATCCTTCAGTATCAAGTTCCCCGCAACCCCACTGCCCTCTTATCTTCCCCTCAGCTCTCAAGTTTCTGGGCCCTGGGGTGGAGGAAAGCAGCCACAGCACAGAGGCAAAGAGATTGCTCCTTCCCACTCTGCGGGTCCTTAGGGAGTCGGCATCTAGAACATCAGTGTGAGGCTAGAAAACGCAAGAAGGGGAGACTGCCTGGAGCTGCCTCATGAGAAGCAGGTTGGAGGGGTGAGGTGGGAGAGAAGCTCCCGGCCCCTCCTCTCAGCCCCTGCTTCTCTTCACTCTTCAGGCTGCAGGAGCAAAGGGAGACAGAGGGCTCAGGCCAGGTAGTGCCTTCTCGCCTTCAGAGCCAGCCGTTGCTGCTGAAATCCACACGCAGTGCCTCCTCGTCGGCAGGGCTCAGCCCCTGCAGTGGGGCGCGGCAGGGGCCTCCATAGTAACCAAGCCAGTCCATGGCCTTCTTCAGCCCTGGGATTCCGAAGCGCCGGGTCACCTAAGAAGCAGGGCCTGTTAGGAGAGACTGCAGAGCCTGCGTATACCTACCTAGGACCCAGACATCTATCACTTTTAGAAATTTGGGGTTTCTACCTCCACCCCCAGTGAAGGAAATCTACCAAGCCTGTAGCACCCAGATTAGGTTGGGATCCAGATTTACAGACCAGAAAGCAGGTCAGTAATAGTAAAGTGCAAAAACCTCAGGTTGAGGAAGGAACGGGCCTCCTTTGGTTTTAGGAGGAAAAGTCCACTTCAATAGGAGATAGAGAAGCTCGGTCCTCAGGCGGGGGTGGAAGGGAACAAGTTCTAGGTACTTCAGCATCATGTCTTTAGCCTGGTTCCCTAGAACCTTTTCCAGGATGCTGTAGGACTGAAAAGTCAGGAGGACTGCCTCAGGCACAGCCCTTCCTCCCCTGGCATCAGGGTCCCTCGCTGATAGCTCCTCCTGGGAAAAACTGCATCATTGTCCAAATAAGTTTTGTTGTTTAACTGTATGTCATGTCCTTATTATTTGAGCTAGTTTCATGCCCCAAAAGTGGGGTGGTCAGCGAACATGGTATAGAAAAGCTTGTCTAATACAGTGGAAAACCTAAAGCTATTACAATTTAAAGTCATGCATAGGACTTTACAGAACAAATGAAGGATCAAGTTTCTTTGTTTTTGGTACAGCAGCTGGTTATTTCAAACTGATCAGAAGTGTTAGATGAATCTTTGGCTACCTAAAAACTAGGAAAGAAACCATTACTTAGTAAAGTTTAATTTGGAGAGAAGGCTAAACCTTAGAAATACAGACTTCATGAAGGGTGAAAATAATGAGGTTTTTTTAGAGTAGGAAGGCAGGTTGGAAATCAGTAATGAATGACTAGTAACTCTTTACTACCAGAGGCCAGTAGGCTTTTTTTAATCACTGATTTTTAAGAATTTTTATTTTTACTACTATATGTTTACAGTACATAATGATTGCATTCATAATGGGGAGTTGGTGCATTATGTAACACATCTTAATTCTTTTTGCTTCCCCCTTCCCTGCCTTCCCTTCCCTTTTCTTTCATCTCTTGTCCGCTTTCCACCAGTGGGCTTTAGCAAGCCTGGACTTTTGTTCTGTAACGGGTGTAAGTCACCCTTCTCCTAGGCCTAGTTCCACGCAGAATGTGCTAATAGCATGGCCTTTTTACCCCAAATCTCTAGATTGGAAAGACCAAGGAGTGGGAGTAAAAGCAGGGGTACCTAGAGAAAAGCTTGCTTCTACCAAGGGTTTCTGAAGATCGCTGGTATACCCTCCTCAGACCCTGACTGTTTTGTTGGTAAAGCCTAGAAAGTCCTAAATATAGCTGGAGAAGGTTGGCTGGGTGGGAATGTGGAAGAGGGACATTGTGTTCAATCAGGGCAGGGCAATAGAGTGACATCAGGCAGCTCTTGGGGTGTCTGAGCCTACAGCCCGGGCAGCAGCAAGGTATTCCAGGCATTCCTGAACATGTGCCCACCCAGAGCAGGCACAGGAGGGCACCAAATGCGGAATGAGGCAGCATGGGATAAAGCACAGAGAGCTGAGATCGCACCAAAGCTTCCTGCCTTCCCAGGAACAGCCCAAGCTGCTTGTCTATAAAATGAGGCGCTAAAAGGCCAGGTATGGTGGCGCACATCAGTAATCCCAGCTCTCCAGACACTGAGGCAGGGAGATCACTGTGAGTTTGAGGCCAGCCTGGGCTACAAAGTGAGCTCAAGGCCAGCCTGAACTGCATAACAAAACCCTGTCTCAAAAAGACCAAAAAAAAAAAAAAATGATAAGTACACCTACCCATAGAGATGCCACAAGGATCAGATCAGAAAAACAGCATTAGCATTAGACCATTCCCAGTGCCCTGAAAGTTCCATCTCCTCCGTTCTGGTGGGATGTAGGTCCTAGGACCTTCTCTTTCATAGGTGGATGTAATGGGAGAGCTGAGGCCCTGCCCTGTTGAATATCCAGTGTTCAGAGTCACCTGTGCCCCTGTGGGCATAGCTGAAAGGCCCTCAATTGAGCAAGTTCTTACAGGCTATTTATAGTGTCTGATCCTGGGAGAAGGTACACATCCAGGAAAATTCATGCTTTCCCGGCAGCTGTCCTTCCCCTAAAGCTGAGCTAATCTGCCTCTTTGAGGTAAGAATACAAGCTGTGAGGGAGGCCTAGAGCCCACTCACCACTTTATCCAGACAAAGCACTGTTGAACAGTGTCTGTGATGTGTAGTCTGGGTCTGTGGTGAGGCTAGCAGGTACTTGTCTTAGATACAAAATTTAAGGAGAAGCAAAAAAAAAAAAAACTCTTAATAATCAAGATAAAGATTATGTTAATGCAATCTTTTTTAAAATCAAAATTAGCCAGGCATGGTGGTGCATGCCTGTAATCTCAGCAATCAGGAGGCTGAGGCAGGTACATCATTGCAAGTTTGAGGCCAGCCTGGGCTACAAACTGAGCTCAAGGTCAGCCTGAACTGCATAGCGAAAGCCTGTCTGAAAAAGACAAAAGAAAAAAAAAAAGGGAGAGAAATCTTACTACCATTTCCATTTTATAGACAACAAAAACGAGATAGAGAAGTGTGGAGCATAGTGAAACCCAGATTCTCCTCCTGGCAATCTGGTTCAAAATACCTTAAATTTTGTATGAACTACATAGTGAGACCCTGTCTCAAAAAGACAAAATATAAAATACAATAAAATAAATGTTAATGCAAACAAGCTTGGCATGGTGACGCCCACCTATAATCCCAGCACTTGGGAGGCTGAGGCAGGACAATTGTCATAAGTTCGAGGCCTGCCTGGGCTACACAGTAAGTTCAAGGACAGCCTGAACTACTAGTGAGAACTTGTCTCAAAAAATAATAACAAATAATGCAAACAAATCCATGATAAATAGCTTTAAAAACAGCATTTAACAGTCCCATCCTGCCATATTATAGCCTGAGTCAATAGTTAACAGATATGTCTCTATATATGTGTTTTTGTATTCTTAAAAAATTTTCCCTAGAAGTATACTTGGAGGAAAAAAAAACATTTTAACGTGTTTGCTACCATTAAAGCCAGGAAAGTAAATTGATAGAGATTATATTTTGGGTGTATATGGAAGACTTAAACCCAAAATAATACAGTGAGGTTTTTTTGCTTGTGTGTGTGTGTTTGCTTTGTTTTTGTAGTACTGTGGATTGAGCCCAAGACCTTTACAAACTTCACACTGAGCAATACCCCAAAACTTTTCACTTCAAGACAGGATCTTGCTGAGTTACCCAGGCTGCACTCAAGCTTGTAATCCTCTTGCCTTGGCCTCTCAGAGTGCTGTGATTCCAGGCCTGCACTACCATGTTCACTCTACTGTTTTTTTATACCCACAATATATTTTTTTTGGCTACTTTAATGTGTTGGGGGTGGATTTACTATTTTGAGAATACTTAAGAGTTTCCATTTTCAGGAAATGGAGTAAACATGCTTACTCCTATCTTCCCCAAGAAGTACAACTAAAAAGCTTGGATATTATATAAAAACAGACATAAGAAGATGTGGAAGGGCAGCAAGGAGCAGGAGACCAACCAGGGACCTCAGGCCACAAGGAGCAGCACAGTGGTGAGCCCCTGGCCCAGACTTGGAGCTGAAGCCAACAACTGGGAAATGCCAATGGGCACAGACAATTGACCTGCCAACAAAAACCAGTTCTCTCTATCCAAAAGCCTAGGAAAGGAAAAATCTAGCTTACCAAGATGTAAAAGTTTTGGACAATAACCACTTTCTACTCCAGCCGAGCACCATGGAGTAAACAGTGACCCCTGCTACTCAGGCCAGCAAGAGCTGAATAAAAAACCCTGAAGTTTCTCCCTATTCCCAGCTGGATGGTGTCAGAGGAGGCCTAGTGGGGGACAGTAAGGGCTCCTTGTACTGCCCACCCTTGAAAGAGACC